CCGCCCCCGCCCCCGCCAGCCCCGCCACCGCAATCCACATCCCCAAGAGGTTTGCTCGGGGAGGGGCCCCGCCTCTGGGTCAGGGCGCCCCCTCGGGGCCACCGAGAGCCTTGGGCCCTGAGTCTCGCATGGCCCATGTCCCGCCTGTCGTGAGCCAAAGTCTTTGTTTACCACCCCTGCTATGTGCTAGACCCTGTACCAGGTTAGGCAAACAGCTCACCCCTGTCCTCTGCACGCCTCCCTGACACATCCTGAGTCCCAGGAGGGTGACGATAAAGGGACCTCAGAGGGGACGGGAAACTCACCCTGAGAAGGGCAGAGGAGCCTTCTGCCCGCAATGTCCACCTGGGCCTTGCAGTAAGGACACCCCAGGCCGGCGGGATGTGCCCCCCGTCAGCAGACGCACGACTCTGGGCCTTTCCTGAGATACCCGAGGAAGCTCAAGACCAAGACCGGCCCAGCTGGAAGTGAGGAGATGCAGGGCAAGGCCTGAACTTGAATTCATCTCTCTGTCCTCTGCCCTTAGGGTTCGTTTAGGGTTCCACTTCACCCCGATTATGGTTTACGTTTCTGCTCCCTCTGCCAGATTACAAAGGCTTAGAGAGCAGGAGCCCAGTTCTCTCATGCATTCCTTCAAGTCCATTGAGGGTCCCCCTTGTACACCTGCTGTGCCTGAGGCACCCCCGTGCTAGGCCCTCCGTGGGGGTCTGTTGAACCGGACGCACTGGGCTCGCTCCACAGAAAGAGAAGTCCACGGTGGAACCTACCCCTCCATCGTGCAGGTCCTCAGCAGAGGAACACAGAGACCTGGGTCCCCTTGCAGATTTCCCCAGGACTATATACACTGTTGCTAACTCAAAGGGGCACTTCATTGGGAGGTCTTTCAGGGCACAATCTCCCTCCTGTCTCTATTCTAGAAGGCTAGTAGACAGTCTCAGAGGAGCTTGGATATGTTCATCCTGGGTGGACATTCCAGGTGTCAAAACAGAAAATGCTCCTGGAGGGCTGGCCCGTGGCTCACTCGGGAGAGTGCGGTGCTGACACCAAGGCCACGGGTTCGGATCCCATATAGGGATGGCCGGTTAGCTCACTTGGGAGAGCGTGGTGCTGACCACACCAAGTCAAGGGGTAAGATCCCCTTACTGGTCATCTTTTAAAAAAAAGTACTCTCGGAGCTGCTGCCAAGACAGGTTCTGGGCTGGATTCTCTCCTGGTTGGGGTGGGGATGTCAGGGACTGTGTCCCAGAACCCTGCACAGCCCCTGAGGCTCTTCTAGACAACCTGACTACTCACCACCTGCTCTTCCACTGACCCTCCACCCCCACCTCTTCTCCTTTCTTTCTCCCTCTTCCCTTCCTCTTTTAGTCCTTTGTCAGGTCATTGGGGTTTTCAGGCCGAAGATGGATGGGATGGGAGGTCAGACCCTTCATGCTTATATGCTCATTCATTCTTTAATTCATTACTTAAAAAAATCTATGAAGTGTCACTGTGCTAAGCTGTGTTTTATGTGTATCCCTACGAACTGGGTATTTCTACGCCAATTTTACAAATCAGGAAATACGAATACACCACAATCCAGACAGACTTCATGACTCCTATAGTCACTCTGAGGTCCCTGGCCACCTTCAGGAGGAAAGTAAAGCCCCGGCCCCTCTCCATTCTAGGGGGTTGTTGTCTTTCAGGCCCATCGGGCTCATTAGGTTCCTGGTTGTGGGCTACATGATGGATGTGTTACTGCAGCTACAGGGTCCTGGAGGCCAGCCCTGGAAGGAAGCCAGAGGTTTACTGGCTGCTGGCTGCCAGCTGTCAGCTGAAACTTAGCTGACCCCAGGGATCAGGGGTCATAGGAATTCTCCAGCCTATTGTGTGAAAATCCCCCTGGGTCCTCTGTCCAAGCCTCATTCCTCTGCCACCATCTGCTCACTGGAGAGGGGCCCTGAACCTGCCTGTCTGCAGTAGGCCAGGGAAATGGACCTGCACAGGCTGACGAAGTGCCTGTGCATCCCTGGAAGCTGGTGGTGGGTCAGTGGAGCAATCAGAACATGCAAGGCTGTCTTTTAAACTGGTGTAAAGAAATTGCAGCATTCTTGGTTAGAGCATGGTGCTGATAACACCGAGGTCCAGTGTCCCGACCCGCAGGATATTCAACGCAGACACTGGAGGGGGGAGTGGGAATTGGATGGGACAAGAGACCCGAGAAATTGAGACAAGACAGTATTCTGATCAAGTCTCATTTATTGATTCTTAGGTTACATCTTATATAGGAAAAAGCAGGCATGCTGC